CATAAAACCATGGGGTGACATCATTGGGATTCTGATCCAGTCTCCCTTGAGGGAGTAATATATGAGATAACTTATGAAAAGCAAGTGTAAATGAACTAGGGGCCTGGAGAGGGGTGTTTTCGTGGTAGAGTTGTGGAATATAAATGGCTTGAAGAGAGCAAGTCAAGGACTTCCTCTACATTTTATGCCCAAGAAAATATGGAGAGTGGAATACCTAGCCAATGGGAGATAAAGGAGCACAAACTGCAGAAGATAGAAAACCATGAGAAGGACATAGGAAAGACAGTCAATACTTCCTACTCTCTTTGTCAGCTTTTCATTCTCCAGTAGACAAGTACAACACCTCTTTTTAAGAGTGTGCCACTCCGGGAGGTGCACCTTCTCTCTACTCTACTCCACATTTGAAAAAGTGCAATAGCCTTGGAGTGTCATCTTCATAATCCAAGGTTGTGGGTTTGATCTCTGATCAAGGCACATACAGGAAGCAAACAGTAAGTGCATAAATAGCTGGAACCACAAATAGATATCTCTCTCTCTCTCTCTCTCTCTCTCCCTCTCTCTCTCTCTCTCTCCTTCTCCCTTCCTCTGTTTCTAAAAAATAAAAAAAAATTAAAAGTGCAATGATATAAAAAATTCACAACACCAAGAGACGTATAATTCACAGAATTCCTCCCCACATACACACTTGCATCAAATTCTATTACTAATGTCACATTAACCCTCTGCTTGAAGGTTGGAATCTTCATCACTCCTGGCACCTAAAGCTGGTTTAGCTGGTGGATTGTTTGGGGGATGGGGGTATAACTGTGCACATGACAGCCAGCTGAACACATAGGTAACTTTGTACCTCTGTTTCAGAAAAGAGGGCTGTCTGATCTTACCTATTGCCTATCATGAGAGAGTTGCAATCACATTGTGTAATTACCTATTTCCAACTATGGAAATGTTCTATTACCATTTTTATTGTGTAATTTAGTAAGAAAAAGAACCTCAGGCAAGTACTTTGAATGCCATTTAACCTCTCTTGGTACAGATCTTTGCATATTTTATAAGAAATAGTGTTATGGCCTTGTTTGGCTTAGTTTGCTCAAGAGCAGGGATACAAATTTATTAATACCCTCTGTTTTCTCAAAAAGTAAAAATTGTCATAAAGCATGTGCCAGGAGATTCAGCCTCATATGGAAATTTTGCCAAGATCTACCAAAGCAACTTCTCTTTATTTATTACTTATATTTCACTATTAGAAAGTATTTACAATGGATTACGTAGAGTCCTTATTGCCATGATGTCATAATCTTTCCTTTTTTAAGCCTGTAGATCAGTGGTTCTCAACCTTCCTAATGCCGCGACCCTTTAATACAGTTCCTCATGTTGTGGTGACCCCCAACCATAAAATTATTTTCATTGCTACTTCATAACTGTAATTTTGCTACTGTTATGAATCATAATGTAAATATCTGATATGCAGGATGTAGTTTCATAGTTGCAAATTGAACATAGTTAAAGCATAGTGATTAATCACAAAAACAATATGTAATTATATATGTGTTTTCCAATGGTCTTAGGCGACCCCTGTGAAAGGGTTGTTCGACCCCCAAAGGGGTCGAGACCCACAGGTTGAGAACCGCTGCTGTAGATACATTTGTATTATAAAAGCCACAGCAAAATCATAAATTGCTCCTAGATTTAGAAAAATTGGGGAAAAAAATCTATTAGTTTAATTCTTCTTAGCACAACACAGTCTCTTCTCTATTATTTCACTTGTTCTCTTATTAAAATCTTCAATAATCAGAACAATCTACAATTTGAAAGTAACCATTTTAGGTATGAATCTATTGCCTCATAAATAATTAAAAATAGTAAGGTTAAATGTGTCAATTCAGAGAATTATAAAATAGTTAAGTGGCTTTTCCTAAAATTTCTACTATAGAAATCTGTATAGCAAACTTTTCTTTCACTTGTTACTAAATTAACATACAACAAAACACTGTCTCTGAATTGCTGGGGTTTTACATTTTATATAAAGTATGAAAGAATCAGAATTACAGGAATATATGCTTTAAGTTAGGATAAATATATCATCAGCTCATATTCCTTATCTAAAGAGTAAAAGAAAGGAATAAATATGAACAACTATTTCAGCACCACAATCTATAAGGAGCTAAGATGAAAATGTCTATCACATGGGTCCTATTCTTGACAATCTTACATTTTCAGACTATGAAAAATAAATAATTTACTGTATTTTAGAATAATACTTAAATATTCTACAGTTTAAATATGTTATATTAAATAGAACATATAAGAATACTTTGATGTAACAAAATGAATTGGTCTGAGAACGTCTGGCATAGGGAATGGGCTGCATAAATGAATTAGTTAGTCATTTAGATTTAGCAAAAAAGAGAACTTATAAAAAGTTCATAGCTTCAGGGACTTGGTTCAAAGGCTTGAATAATGCCATTTGGAATAGTTTTAGGATTTTCATGGTGGATTCTGGCATCTTCAGACTCACGTCAGCATAAATCCAAGTCCCAATCCTAGGTTTAGTGGCCTTCCAGGTACTGATTGGAAACCCTAGGTTCCAGCCACACTCCTGCGTGCCCCTCCTCTCCCCCCGGGTCTGTGTTAATGCTAAGTCCTGCAGGCAGCTTCAGGGTGGCCTGTTGGAAGGAGTGAAGGGATTGAAGAGCTAGGCTTTGAGTCCCGGCTGGGACTCCAGGCCAGTCCTCAGTATCCTTTGATCTATAGCTTTCACTGTTTAAACATATGGCATGTGAACCTCTGTTTGGATTCTTACTCCAAGTCCTTCAAATGTTAGGGGCAGGCATGGGTTAGGCAACATTTGAAATTTTGCTTTTTAAAAATATATTTTATTGATTTTTTTACAGAAAGGAAGGGAGAGGGATAGAGAGTTAGAAACATCGATGAGAGAGACACATCGATCAGCTGCCTCCTGCACACTCCCTACTGGGTATGTGCCCGCAACCAAGGTACATGCCCTTGACAGGAATCGAACCTGGGACCTTTGAGTCCGCAGGCCGACGCTCTATCCACTGAGCCAAACCGGTTAGGGCTGAAATTTTTCTTTTTAAACTGAGAGCATGAAAAAGTCATTTTGAGCTTAAGCAGGAGAAGGGCAAGATAAAATTTAGATCTTTAAAAATACCTTTACTATGGTATAATCGACATAAGTTAGTTGCACGTATTTAATGCATACACCTGAGAAATTTTGGCACACCAATGAAAGGAACCATTATCACAATTGAGAATATGAAAGAAATTTTATTTTAAGAACACATACTCAACAAATTACTTTTATCTATCATATATATATCTGAAAATTCAGTAAGGAGACAAATAACCCAATTAAAGATAAACAAAATATCTGAACAGTCACTTCACCAAAGAAGATAACACCCATCAGAGAAGCACATGACAAGGTGTCAGCACCACTACTCACCAGGAAAATGCCGATTTGCGTTTTCCAAGGCCCCCGTAGGCCTCGTGCCCTGGAAGGGCTGGGGATCAGGAGTGGCTGCAGAGAGAACAGTTCAGAGGCTATTGCCCTAGGACTAGTAAAAGGGGGTGGCTGCTTGAATTGAGGTGGTGGTTGTGGAGATAAGGGAAGAACGACAAATTAGGGAAATAGTCAGGAAGCAAAATGGATAGGCCTTGACATTGACTTTGGTATTATTAGGCAAAGTGTTGGAAATGATTCCAAGTTTTCTGGTTCATGCAGTTGGGTGGATGACGATGCCATTCACAAACATGGGGAAGCCGGAGGAAGACCAGGCATGGCGGAAGATTGAGTTTATGTTACATGAGCACCTTTGAGGTCCCTTTGAGGCACCAAAGTAGAATCCTGGAGCTGGCCGTTGGGGTCAGATGTGTGCTGGGCCTTGTCTTGTATTTGGTGTGGACAGAAGTTTAAATGGGGGGAAAGGGAAGAGCAGGGATTGCCAAATCAGATTCCCCTGTCCTGAAAAGCAGGAGGGAGTCTGCTGTTTATCCATGGTCGACACTAGTAAAGCAGGAAGAACTTCTGGTGAAGAGGAGGTTCCGAGGACTTCTTTAAATACTCTGTTTGGAATCCTCGAGGCATTCTGCCAATCTTGGGGTACCCTGAGCCAGGACAAAGCTCTTCTGAGTCTCCCTGCTCCTCCACTTCCCACCCTCCCTATGGCTGACTCCCAGCTTAGATGTAGATTGCATGCATGTCATTGCAGCCTCCGAGAAATAAAAAGTTCTGTAGCGCAGGCTACTTAAAAGTCTTACTAAATGGTCTTCTGTCCAGTTTTCCCATGTGGATTATATAATCTATTGAAAGAAGGAAAAAAAAACTCATTATTTTCTTAATTTTTACTAGTATACCTCATTAGTGAATCTGAACCATACTGTTCCATCTCAGTCTGGTTCTCACATTCTTAGAAAGAACAATGGGATCTTTAAATTCATTCAGTTGGTGTTGGGAAGAGGCCAAAATTAGTTAGTGTCCCACTGATCCTCAGAATGGCCTTCTAGCCGCACAGTCTAGGAAGGCATTTACAACCTTCCCCCTCTTCTTTTCCTCGTTTGGCATCGTCTAGCCGGTATTCTGCTCTTCCTGTAAATATGGGAGAAAGTAAAAGACACTATTCAGCCGCCTTTGTCTGCAAAGTCTGGCATTTCAGTGGTTTTCTCCGAGGGGTCCCCATTTTTGGAACCCGCTTTGCCATTAACGGAAATCAATCTGAATGTTCCATTGTGCATCTTTTTTCTCTCCTCACAGTCTGAAGTTGCCATGGCCAAGTTTTCGAGCTGAACCTGAAAGACCCTCTCTCATTTTCCCTGTGCCCTGCTTCCAGCCCCATTGAATCCTCGCGGAGCCTTCTCAGGCAGGAGGGCAGCAGCGTGAGGACTGGGAGACCGCGACCTACTCTGCTGACCTAGTGGCCTGAGCCAATGGCAGAGAGGATTGGAACCTCACTTGAGCCTTCCCCCACCCCCCCCCTCCCCCTGCACCAGCCTCCTGGGAAGGACACTGGAGGGGTGTGTTTGCAATTTAAGTCCTTGGCTTTCTGCCCGCCTCTTCTCCAAATAAGAAGGCAGGAGCTGCTACGAGGTGCAGGGGGGTCTTCTGAATTGCAGAGGCCGTGGGACTCACAACTCCTCGCTCGGGTCTCTCTCATCTGTTTTCAGAGCTAACGGGAAAGGGCCAGGATGGTGGAGGCTTTCTGTGCTACCTGGAAGCTGACGGACAGCCAGAACTTTGATGAGTACATGAAGGCTCTAGGTGGGTACAAATATGTTCTCTTAACCTACGGCTTCAGACACTTGCATCTTTTTTTTTTTACCCATTAGATTGGCAAGTGACAAAGGCAGATCACATTGCAATAAAATATCCATTCCCCAGGCTGTGTATTTCCCGAGGAGTGGGTTTTTAATGTGGAAGGTGCCTGCTTTCTCGCCCAGGGCCAAGTCATGGTGCATCTGATGGTTTGCAGTGTCGTTTCCTCTCCAGCAGCCCCTATGTGGGCATCTCTATATTATTACAGCGCAGTAGTTGTGCTGCGTGATGAATGGGCTGAACCTAAACATGCTCTCATGAAACCTATACCTTAGGACCTGGATTCCAAACTAGGAAAGCCGTTTTCTGCTTAGGGAGCTATTTTGGAAGCTGCTGCTGTCTGCATTGCTTCCCTTTGCTATTTCAGGTGTGGGCTTTGCCACTCGGCAGGTGGGAAATGTGACAAAACCCACAGTAATCATCAGTCAGGAGGGGGGCAAGGTGGTGATCCGGACTCAAAGCACATTCAAGAACACGGAGATTAGTTTCCACCTGGGAGAAGAGTTTGATGAAACCACTGCAGACGACAGAAACTGTAAGGTAAGAAGCCACTTGTCCAGGGGGAGGATTCGGGGAGGGGTGGGATGAAAAAGAGATTCCTGATGACTTTTTTTTAGATGTTGGAAAGGGAAGAACGTTCTCAGTATTTCAGTTCACAGAGAAGGAGATCAGGGTTGGTTTTGCATTCTCGCGTGCATAGGTTATGTTCTGGAAAATGGGTACTTGCTGTAACTCAAAACTTGAATTTATTTTTTTGCAATGTGTTTTCACATTATCTATTAAGCCTGTTTTTCAAAAAGTATTTAATAGCATTTGTTTGAGAGAATGCTTGCGTTTTATTTACTCTCTCAGATTGCCTCAGATTGAATAAACAGCTTACCTCATTCCAAGGCTTTGCTTAAAGAAGGGTGACTAGTCCGAAAGCACCTGCTCGGAATTTTTATTTCTAACCTATGAAGTTTTTGCATCTAGGTGTACACATTTCAACCAAATGATGAATTATTAGAGTGTGCATAGCAATGACTCCAGAAACAACACAAGATATGGTACTAATTTAGTAATTAGTTGAACACAATTGATTCAGTTATACAGCTCTTTCAAAAATCACTTCCTTTGACTTTTATCTCAGAAAGTGGATCTGTAACTATTTCTGTGTTCTGCTCTTGGTGATTGTTCTCAGTCTGTTGTTAGCCTGGATGGAGACAAACTCGTTCACGTACAGAAATGGGATGGCAAAGAAACAAATTTTGTAAGAGAAATCAAGGATGGCAAAATGGTTATGGTGAGTAATGGCAGTTCTCCCCTCCTTCTTCCTGGGGTTTTCCTCTCCCCCTTTTCTCATCTCCTTTCTCTTCCTCCCTCGGCTCTGTCTCTCCTCCTCCCCTTCCTTTCCTGCACTCCCTTCCCCCCTCTCTCTTCCCTCCCTCCTTTCTTCTTTAATAACATTAAGTGATTAGCAAGGTTCTTTAAACAGTTATAAAGCAGAAGCAATAAACAGATCCTAGCTAATTGTTTCCTCAGCTCTGCTTCTTTCATGATAGAAAAAGAAAAAATCTCCATGTAGTTAAAAACAACGCTGCCAACAATTATGAAAATATATAAAGACGATTGATATTCCTATAAGAATATCAAGCTTATTGAATCTCAAAAAATTACTCTAAAATTCCTGTAATAAATAAGAGATCTTAAAAAACTTTATATTTTAGTTATATGAGTTCAGTGCAGGTAATTTTAGAATATAACACAAAAGCATAAGAAAAATTATAAAACTCCTTTCTAGCTGAAACTGGTTTGGCTCAGTGGATGGAGCGTCGGCCTGCGGACTGAGGGGTCCCGGGTTCGGTTCTGGTTGGGGGCATGTGCCTTGGTTGCGGGCATATCCCCAGTGGGAGATGTGCAGGAGGCGGCTGATCGATGTTTCTCTCTCATCGATGTTTCTGGCTCTCTATCTCTCTCCCTTCCTCTCTGTAAGAAATCAATAAAATATATTAAAAAAAAAACAAAAACAAACAACAAACAAAAAAAAACTCCTTTCTAAATTCTCCTCAGAGAGAACCATTTTGATGTTACTTCCAGTCTTTTAAAAAGTACCTTTTACAAGTACCTGTTCAAAACTGGTAGTCATGTAAAAATTATAAAATAGAAAATAATTTAAAAATAATTAATGATGTATAACGTCATAAACTGGGAAAAATGTTATGCCTTAATCTAGCATCCCAGACACCTGTGTGTGTGTGTGCGGGCGTGCGCATACCTGTGTGAACTGTGTGTGCACGTGTGTGAACTGAGTAATGGCACAGTATTTTGATCACATTGGAATAGTCAATATATCATTTTGCTTTTTTGGAGGGATGGGGTTGCTTTACATATTTTTGGTTTTATTATTTAAGACAATTGACTGTTGTTTTTACTCTCTTTCCCTTGACTGCAATGAGACCTGTTCTAGACTGAGACATAGGGTTTACATACTCACACTTCTTTTCATGGGTGGGAGTGGGGAGCAGAGGGACAGTTTTTCTTTCATGCTAACAAACACTTGCCCACATTTTTCAGCAGCGATCACCAAAAGAAAGGATTCATTTCTGAAAAATTCAATCTGAATTTTCCTTTATGCTTTTATCTCCATTTCCGCCCCCCCCCCCCCCCCCCCCCCCCCCCCTAGCTTAGCTTTGGCTGTCTGACTATGATCAGGCAAGATCAAGTTCCAAAAAAGTGATTAAGACCATGGATGATAAATAAGGGCATGCGCTACTCTTAAAAATCACATCAATACATGAAAACAATGAACATTAAAAAACACTAAATTTTGTAAAGAGGTTTTATAGCAATTCTTCAGGTTGGGTTTGACAGAGGAGCCCATGTTCCACGTGTGACCCACCTAATCACCAAGGTTCACACAGGCTAAAGCACGGCAGCCAAAGCAAAGAGAATGTTTGCACATTTACCTTTTCCTGCTGATTTTGGAACAAATACCATTTGCCCAAATGATTTGGATTTTCTAAAAACTCTTCAAAAGTTATCTAGGTCATGAATTGAAAATTATTACGAAAACCTACTATAGCCTTATCCAGTTTGGTTCAGTGGATAGAGCATTGGCCTGTGGACTGAAGGGTCCCAGATTTGATTCCAGTCAAGGTCATATGCCTGGGTTGTGGGCTCGATCCCCAGTAGGGAGTGTGCAGGAGGCAGCTGGTCAATGATTCTTTCTCATCATTGATATTTCTATTTCTTTCTCCCTCTTCCTTTCTCTCTGAAATCAAATACATATATATATATATTTAAAAACTCCAAAAAACAAAATAATCAATAAAAACATATTTTTAAAAAAGAAAACCTACTATAAATTCCATTCACTTTCATAGCAGGTAACAAATTTGCTCCAATTACTCTGATAATTTAAGGCAAAATAAATTCTTTTGACCTGAATCTAGATAGTTAATCTTAGTTTTTGTTTCATTTTCCTTTTAGAGACATGAACTATATATACATATTATTTACTCACTAAATATAAGGGTTTGATTTCCTTTTAAGAAAGAAAAAGCTTATGTAGCACTTAATTTTGTAAATGCCACTATTCTTTTGCATGATATTTAAATCACATACATAATAATCTTTTTTAAAAATATGTTTTTATTGATTTTAGAGAGAGAGGAAGGGAGAGGAAGAGTAAGATACAAAAGTCAGCGAGAGAGAAACCAACATCTGTCAGCTGCCTCCTGCATGCCCCCTGCTGGGGACTGAGCCAGGGCAACCATGAGTTGACACTCAACCACTGAGACACACCGGCCGGGCAATGTGATAATCTTTAAAAATTTCAGCAACTGAAGTTCCTGTAAAATGATTTGGCTATCTTTTGATCTTTCAGACTCTTACTTTTGGTGATGTGGTTGCTGTTCGCCACTATGAGAAGGCATAGACAGGTTCCTGATCTGGGCCTGGAGGAGCTCCACAATTTTTCTGTGATCAAGTCTCAGTGCTATCCTGCTATTACAGCACGGCTCATCACATATTAGAAGGTTATCCTTGGTGTGGAGGTAGAAAATGGTGGTTTCAAAACTTCTTTAAAAACGTGTTACTTCAAGCAACTAGCCCAATTTTAATCTGCAAATCTATCACGCTTAATAGTTTGCATTAAGATTTTAAGCCACATTTTAAAAATAAAGAGGTGGATACATTCTGTAATTTCTATTGGAATGTAAATCAAATTGGAATAAAAATCTAATACGCAAGAGAGATGTTGTTGTTGTTAATATCACTAATCTGTCTGGGAATTGTATATTAGAGTTTTAAGTAAAACAGTCTTCCTATGACATAAAGTAAAGCTAGAAAAGTTAGCACTTCATTTAAAATACCAATTAAAAAATAAGCCTAGGGATATGTGGACATGCCACTGTTTAGGTTGAGACTTCCATGGAGAATTTGTGATGATTCAATTCACTTGGCCAGGATGCAAAGGATTGTATGGTGGGTTGGGTTCACAAATAACCTCTTGCTATTAGAAACAGGCAGCTTGAAGGAGCAGAATGATATACATGGAACTGTCTTATTAAAAGGTAAATATAATAAAATATTTAATCAAAATGTCATATAATTCAAATATTTTATTGAAAAGTAAATAGGAAAAGGAAGTGAATTTCATGCTGGATTATACAGATGTATCTCCAGACAAGTACAGTGAGCTGCACCAGGTCAGCGAGAATGCTAAGATGGAATGTGCAGAGTGGGCATAAAGGCATGTACATGGCTTTGTGTGGGAGTTGTTGGAACTGAGTTGACCAAAAGAAAGAAAGTAAATATATATCTGTTTGTAACTGGCTAGGGTTTGCATTCTAAAGTACAAGCAAATGTTGCATTTTATCATTTATAAAATGCTTTTTATACATTTCCTCAAAGCCATGATGTGAAGCAGGTAAGGCAGATAGTATTTTTACTTTGCCAATGAGGTAATTGAAGATTAGATTTACATGTTCAAGTTGTCATGATTAGTGAATAATATCATGAACTGGACACTTTGAAAATTTCCCCTTTATTTCCTCTCAAAAATTAATATTTCAGCTAACTTTTTTTCTGTAACAAAAATGCAAGATTTTATATTCTGGGATCACTCTTTAGGAAATCTTTTCTCTGGTAGCCTTTAGGGTAAGGGGTGAGGAAAGGGTAAATATTTTTCAGGATAAATATGCAATATTAATTTTTAATCAACCCAGTGATTTCAGTAAGTTTCTGTAAGTTAATTCAAGGTCCGATTAACTTACAGATAATGTAAGTATGAGGAAACTTAATTTAACTTACACAATTTACCACAATGATATTATTACCTGACTATTGTATTACTTGATTCGCCACAATGAAGAGTAGAAAACTCTAAAGTGCAGCTATAGGATTTAACATTTGAATGTACGGTTATCATTGAATGGCAAGATAAGATAGTCTGGCTAAGATTACCATTGCTAAAACTACAGTTTACCTCTGTCTATTTTTTTTTCTTTTTCAACACAGGACTTTATTGGTGGTAATCTGCAACACAGGTTTGAAGAGCAAAGGTAGCATGTTTGTGGTGTTGGTGGGGGGAGGGGGGCATGAACCTTGACCCACCCCCTTACCTCTGTCTTTAAAAGCATGAACCAGAGCATTGAGAGGCTTTTGCTCCAAATAACATCCTTCTGGCATTTATTTCCATAACAACTGTCTCACAGAGTGAGGAACGGAAAGGTTTCTGGGTGCCCTAAACAGGGAAAAAGTGACACTGGACTCAAAGATCAAGAGTTGCAGTGATGGACCAAATGCATTTTGGGGGGAAGATAATTAACAGATATTTTTTTGCTTCCTAACTGTGTGCAGGGTGCTTGCAAATCACTTTTCTCCAAGCCGTATTTTATCTCATATAGTAACCTGTCAATGTACTAACTTCTCTGGTTTGTCCTTAGAAAAAAACAAAACCATAGTTAACAGAAAAGAATTAGCAAGCCCAAAGACAAATTGACCAAGAGACCCTGGAAGGACATTTTTGAAGCCAAGATCCCAAATATAGAAACTGAGTTAAAGGCTATCTTGTGAAATCCAACCGTGGAACCTTGACAATGAGCAAGCAGCACTTCCTCGCAGTTCCCCCTCACCCAGATAGACACCCTCAAAACAACATACAGCGACACCCAGAACACAAGGACCTACAAATACCCAGGGTTGAGAGACAACCAGAGATCCTAAGGCACTATGCTTCTTAGAGAGTGGGGATAAAGGAAAGCAAAAGAAAGTAGAGGGAGGAGAAAGGATAATTGCTTCTACCCTTTAATTTCAATATATTATTCTTTTTCAAGCATTTCTTAGGTTTCAAAATATGTAAACCAGATTTTATGCTTAAGAATTATTTCACAACCAATTTACTTCCTGGCTTATTAAAAAATGACAATTGCTATTTTTTTACATTAAAAAATACTTTTCCTGTCTTTTAAAATGTTTAGACTAGAACCACTAAGTTATTTCATTGTCCTTTAAGTTGTTTGCTCTCATCCATTCACCATTATTTTCCTGCTCCATTTTCTTCCATACTCATGGTTGTGGACTGAGAAACTCCACGTGTTACCAAGCAAGGTCTTGCTGCCCAATGTACATAGAAGGCATACCATTGTTATTGGTAGAAGTGAAGTTCTTGGGGTACCAAGAGGAAAAGAATTTTCAGAGGCCCCCACAAGAGGATGGGGTTTTGTGGAAAGCTTTGTTGATAATGTAAAATTAAGGGGTTCCCCTCCAAGTTCCCATCTATGAAAGAAGTCCAGTCTTGTGTTCAACAGGGCCAGAATTAAGGCCATTGCCCATAGTTTCTGCTCCATATTAAAGTCTAGTCCAGTCCAGTGTCTGGCTAGCTTAGCTTGTGTTCCCAGAGGCAGTCCATTGCAAGTGGGGTCCGCACGGCCATGGGCCATATGACTGCTAAAGACCATATATATGGCTAGGGAGAGATCAGGTGAGCACACTGGTAAGTGCAGGTCATGGAGCAAGAGTGAGCAAGAGCTAACAAGACTGAGAGAACTCGGGATTTTAACCAAGAGCGTCTTCAAATTGACCAATTAACTTTTCAAGATTTTGTGTGCTGCTGAGGGGGTCCACCCCCTAGCCTAGTGGTCGGCAAACTGCAGCTCACAAGCCACATGCAGCTCTTTGGCCCCTTGAGTGTGGCTCTTCCACAAAATACCACGTGCGGACACGCACGTACAGTGCGATTGAAACTTCGTGGCCCATGCGCAGAAGTCGGTTTTCGGAAAGGAAAAAGACAAAACAAGTATACAAGACGAGTGTGGATGGGAGAGTTGGAAGGGGTCGACCTCAGCGAACTTACCTCAATCAGATTGAGGACGTTTTTAGCAAAGGCCAGCTTAGGAGTACCCTAATTAAGTTAATAACAATGTACCTACCTATATAGTTTAAGTTTAAAAAATTTGGCTCTCAAAAGAAATTTCAATCATTGTACTGTTGATATTTGGCTCTGTTGACTAATGAGTTTGCCAACCACTGTCCTAGCCAATCCATTGTTCCCCAGGCTAGACTGATAGGCAAGCACCTCCCCTGTGCCACCCCAACTTCTACTGCCCATGTGCCCATGATGAGGAAAGTAAGACCTTTTGGGGGGGTGGGGGAGGGGTGGGGCGCTAGCAGCCTAACTCTGTACCTAGTTAATCAGTATTCCTAATGCACATTCTTGCTAGCGGATAATTAACTCACTGCCCCTTCCTTAATTATCTGGTCTTGCAAGACTTACTTACCTAGATACATTTTACAAAGGTCATAAACCATGAACCATACACAACCCCGGGGAGGGGGTTATCAGCGCTGGCGCCAGGCCAGGCCTTTAGGTGTGGTCTCACAGCCCCCATCCCAACACACAGAGCTTTTTGCAAAAGCCCGAGAAAGGTCTGGAAGTCTGATCCTTATTTGGGGGACAAAGAAACCAAAGGGTATGAAGAGAAGCCTCCTCCATATTGGTTTGCTCAGGATTTGGAAACAGGCTCCCCTGAGTCACGGTACTTGTACATCTGGAAATAAATGGGTTTTTCCTGTATCTCCGGGTACTCCTGTGTATTTTTCGGTCGCCTGGTAAATTCTGTAACACCTATGGCCCCTTTCCCCACCCCAACAATCCAGTCCTGGGTGGGGGAATGGAGGTCTGTTAATCCCCTTGGAGAGACAATGCCTTGTGAAGCTGTAGCTTCCGGTGAAGCTTCCCAGCGACCATGCTTACAATGCCTGACTTCCTTTTGCTTTCTTTCCTTTATTTATATGAACTAGTTAATTATGATAGCCCCATGGCACTGGCTTTTGAGAAAAGAAAAGGCTTTATTGTAAGGTTGACCAGCAAGGAGACAGGAAGCAAGGCTCAAATCTGTCTCCTAGAGCTAGGGTTCAGGGAGAGTGTAAGGGGTTATGGGGAACAGGCTGGTATGCTGAAGCGCTGGCAGGGCAGGTTTCAATAGGAGGCTTTTGGAATTGGGCCAATTATGGTAACCAGGTCTTTCTAGACACCCATCCCTTTGCTTCTGAAAGGGTTCCTGTGTTCCAACTCCTGGTCACGTTCTGGTCTTTTGGCTCCATGGAGGATGCGGGGCCTTGAGGGGGCAACTTTGGTTCCAGGTACAAGTGTAGGTTAACATTCTCTCCAATGTACATACATGCTTCGGTTTTGGCATGACTTACAGGTTTGGTCTGTCCTCTGAAAGGCAACAACTCGGCATCTTCTTAGAAACAGGATAGGACCAGTTTGAGCTGGTTCTGTGATTATATACAAGGACCATTTTGTCCACCAGTGGAAAGTACTTTGGTTCCCAAAAGGCTTTTGAATCATCCTAAAGCTGAGGCAGGACTTGAACTGAGCTGGCAGGACATGAAACAGGAAATGGAGGTGTCTTGATTCCACTTCAAAGCCCCTTTTATGAGACACATTCCCATTTTATTACATAGACTACAAAATAAGGTTTTCACTGATGCGAAACAAATACACTTTACAAATCTTCTATAAGGTTAGTTACTCTGGAGGGTATTTTCTTCTCCAAAGGAATTCCAGACCCTACAAATGTAAACTATATGCTTCTTTATCTTAAAGGGGTCAGCATCCTCATAAATGGTATTGGAAGGAATACAGAACCCAAGGCAATTTGGGGATCTTGGCTTTTTTTTTCCCAGACTAAATATTGTTAAAAAAACAAATTACGACTGAGTAAATTTGAATATCTAGTTAGCTT